TCTGCTTTCTGTCTGCCCCTTACTCTAACCTCCGGCCTCTGAAGCCTGAGAGAGCCTTCATCTCCTCCGAGCCCTGGATTGTTGAAGGCACACATCCTTCCTGAGCTGTGTTTTACTGTTGGAGCTTTCAAGTCCGGCAACCCCACCTAACAGGGTTGGTGCTCACAACCCCTGTACCAGCCACGGTAGCCCAACCGGATTGCAGCGCCCATCGATGTCACGTGACTTCGACCTAGCCAATCACAGCCTTCAGCACAGCACTAGGCCTGGAGCGTGAGCTGAGTGAATGGCTGCGATCTTGTCTTTATTATAGGACTCCTCAGGGTACCAACCGAGACGATGGGCCGCTGGTGTGTGAACAGCGCCCCCCCCCCCCCCGCCAGCACATATCTACTTCCTGCCCCTCTGCAGTCATGGCAACGTTAATTCCCCAAAGCAGGTTTAGGGGTAGGGATTGTGGGATGAGAGGTGGTTAGGACAGGGTGGCAAAGCCACTTAGGGACTGTGGTGTGGGTGTCATCCCAGATTGTGACCCTCTTCTCCTCAGGAAAGGCAGCACTCAGAAAAGCGCTCAGTCTTCCTACTCTCTGCCCCCAAACCCTCTTGCGGTGACCACACAGCTTCCCTAGGTACAATGGAGTCCTACTCCCCACTTCCCTGCCACCCAGCTATACGGGTTTGCAGCAGCCTTGATGACCTCAGAGACCACCCCAAGTCCACTACTGGCAGAGGGCCCAGGACATGGCTGCAGATAGGTAAGGCGGCTCACGCTGTCCCCTTCAGTAGTTCTGGAGCCAGTGGTGCTGTTCTGAAGGTCCATGTGCCCAGCTTTGAGTCAAGAACGGGACGTGCTGGTTAACATGAGGTAGGCTGAGGGTGAGCATGGGTGAGCATCCGCCCGCACAAGCAGCCTTTGCCTCTGCCTCCAGTGTAGCAACTCTCAGACCCAGAACATGAGGTCCCATTGGTGCAGGCCAGGAACAGCTTCCCTTGGGTTCCTCAGCTTCTCCAAATGTAAGAACGGCTGCCTTGGTGTGGACAGCTCAGGAGTGAGGGACCTCACAATAAGTGTCCTGGACAAGGATGGCCCATGCACTGCTCAAAGATCACAGAGAAGCAGAGGCAGGAGCTCCCTGACTTCCAGAGCCCCCCAAGCTTTGGTGTGTGCAAAGGATACCCAAGGCCCAGAGAGGGGAAGGGCCTTGTTCTGTGACCCACAACAGAGTCAGCCGAGGGCTGTCAAGCAGCTCTGTCTAGCTGTAAGCAAAGGTAGGTGCCACCAGAGGATTGTGGGAGAGAGAAGGAGGTACCCAGCCAGGGCTTTCCTGGGTGGTTTCAGGTATAGCTGAGGAGAAGGTGGCTCTAGGGAATACCATCTTGGAGGGGATGAGACACCTGGCAAAGATGAAGGGTGGGAGGCAAGGGACTCATGGGAATGAAGGCTGGACCTCTGTAGCTGAATCGAGGCTCTGGAATGTCGAATAGGAGGATGCCATGTGACTGTGTGGGACGTGTGTGTACGTGTGAGGTGTGTATGTGTGTGTGTGAAAGGGTCTGGGTGGAGGGGCCTGTGTGCAAATGAGTGTGGATATGAATGGGAATTCCTGTAGGTGTGTGTGTGTGTGTGTGAAGAAATGTGCATAGGAATGAGTTTGCATATGAAGTCGTGTGTGGGAGTGTGTGGATATGAAGGGGTGTGTGTGTGTGTGTGTGTCTGTGTGTGCTGGGGCCTGACTAAATCCTTCCTGTGTCCTGCTCCCATCCTGCTCAGGCTGGGGATTCAGCAACTATCCTAAAGAAAACAGCCTGGAGCCTCCAACAGGAAATCAGTGTTTGGACGGCTGAGGTGCCTCTTCCTGCCTCTGCCAGCAATGTGTGAGCCGGGAGGGGGGGCAGGAGGGGGGTGCAGGAGGGGCTTCCTGCCCACCTGGGCCAGATGCCGAATGGGTCAGAGCCCTTCACCCTTTCCTTTACCCTGGCTGCTGAATCCTCTCAGTCTTCAACCCCCAGACTGAGGGAGATCTGAGGCTGCCAGGGGCTGAAACCTGCACAGGTTTCTGATGAGAATCGCTGAGGGTTGTGGGAGAGGAGGACAGTCTGAGGCCATGTGCATGGAGGCTGGTAGACATTCCCAGAGGCCCACTGGGGGTCCTGCTAGTGTCACGAACACACGTGGGCACGGGATGCCACTTTCAGAGTCTTTACCTAAGACATGCTCTTACTGTGTGGCTGACTTGTAACCGAGCTCTGCCTCCAGAGTGTAGGATTACAGCATGTGCCATTGCAGCCACCTTTCCATTTCTGGAACATTCTTCAGAGACAGCACATTCATGTCATGGATATGTTATGCCCAGTCACCCATCCAGAAGCAGGCTGTCCACGGAACTGATGGCTCTGCCTCAGCCCTGCTGTTACTGAGACCAAACTACAACAGTCTGCCTCACCTCACTCTTTTTGTTGAAAAACCAACAACAAAAAGAATCTGTGCTGGGTGGTGGTGGCGCACACCTTTAATCCCAGCACTGGGGAGGCAGAGGCAGGCGGATTTCTGAGTTTGAGGCCAGCCTGGTCTACAGAGTGAGTTCCAGGGCAGCCAGGGCTACACAGAGAAACCCTGTCTCGAAAAAACAAAAACAAAAAAGAATCTGCATGAGGTGGCTCACACCTTTAATCCCAGCACTGGGGAGGCAGAGGCAGGCAGAGGGAACCTGGTCTACAGAGTGAGTCCCAGGACAGCCAGGACTACATAGAGAGAACCTGTCTCAAAACAAACAAACGAATGCAGATTGGACTCTTGAACCTTAGACATCGAAATAACTAAATAAAAATTGTAAACAAATATAGACAAATTAACGGGCATGAAGGTCCTGTGTGCTTTTCTCTTGGTGTGATCATGTGACTCCAGGCAGATCCTGCCTGTTTCCAGTGGGCATTAAAGATCCCGGAAGTAGGCAACTTACGACCTGCGGCGTGGACCCTGTGTGGCAGAAGTCCCCTTTAGGGTCTGTCCAAACCTTCAGCTACTGTAAGAAAGCCCACTGTTCTGTAAACTGTCTTAGTCAGGGTTTCTATTCCTGCACAACCATCATGACCAAGAAGGAAGTTGGGGAGGAAAGGGTTTATTCTGCTTACACTTCCACATTGCTGTTCATCACCAAAGGAAGTCAGGACTGGAACTCAAGCAGGTCAGGAAGCAGGAGATGATGCAGAGGCCACAGAAGGATGTTTCTTACTGGCTTGCTCCCCTTGGCTTGCTCAGCTTGCTTTCTTATAGAACCCAAGACTATCAGCCTTGGGATGGCCCCACCCACAATGGGCCCTCCCACCCTTGATCACTAATTGAGAAAATGCCTTACAGCTGGATCTCATGGAAGCATTTCCTCAAGGGAGGCTCCTTTCTCTGTGATAACTCCAGCTTGTGTCAAGTTGACACCAAACCAGCCAGTACAACTCCTAAAGAGAGTTTGGATTGCCACTGGCCATTTTTTAAAAGTTTCCTTCCCTCCAGATACCACTTCAGCCACCGAGTCTGGAAGCAGCACCCACACATACCTTTGGGTACCGTCCTCAGCCAAGTTTCTCCCTTGGACTCTTCTCTGCCCCATGACTTGATCTGGGTCCCTGAGGCCTGTGCACCCAGCGCTGCTCAGTGACACCCAGGCCCGCCAGTGTTGTGTATATCCTGCTTTTTATCTGAATGTGTCACTAGACCCATGACCTCCTGGGGTCCTGACATGGCTTCTTTCTCAACCTATGGCAACTGGGGAAAAGGACTCAAGCCATGGAACATGACCCTAGTTCAGGCTACATCTGTCCCCAATCCGCAGAATCTCAGGTACAAGTCAGGGTGTGCAGGCCTGGAGCGACCCCTTCCTAGGCGTCCCTCTGCAGCTGACACAGGGTCAGCCGGTGCCTTGGAGCAACTCCATAGGGAAGCTGGGAGAAGCTGCAGTCGGCAGGAGATTAATTAATCAAAGCCTGAATACATCTGTTGTTAATTACACTGTGCCAAGGTTAACTCTTCCCTTGCTGGGCTCGGCTGTCAGCTGGTGGGCAGCGGGGACGGTGGAGGAGTGGGTCTATCCTTTCCTCATCATTGGAGAAAGAGAGAAGAAAGCAGAAGAAAAAGAGACCTCAAGAGAGCAGCACAGGCCTGTCCACAGGGTGCGTGCGTGCGTGCGTGTGTGTGTGCACGCGCACGTGTGCATGCATGTGCCTGAACGTACATGTGTGCACGTGAGTGCATGTATGTGCATCGTGTGTGTGTGCGCACGTGTGTAGGCATGTGTGCGTGCGTGTGTGCATGTGCGCGCGCGCGTGTGTGTGTGTGTGTGTGTGTGTGTATGTGTGTGTGTGTGTGTGTGTAGGGTGCATGCGCAGGTCACAGGACATGTTAGATTTTGGCTCTCAGCTTAGAACAGACAACACCAGACCAAACGGTTCCAGGCGAGGGTGGTGGTGGGGGAGGTGTTATTCAGGGCAAAGGGCAAGGATGGGTGGGGGGAGAAACGGGAGATGGCGGAGTAAGAGAGCAAGGTCAGGAAGGTCTGCCTATCTTATATGGGCGATGACGTAGCCTTTTCCCAGGTAAAGGTGAGGTAGCCAGGTGGATTCTGGGAGTGTATGGCGGTTGCCTTGGCAACGATGTAGGGTCGCCTAGGTGTGATGTCACTGAGTTTGGGCCTGATACCAACAGAACACTTTCAGAGTCAGCCCTCTCATCTTGTTTGAAAGTTTCTTGTGTGATAGCTGGCTCTTGACCTTCCAGAGATTCCCCCATCTGCCTTCCATCTTGCTGTAGGAGCACCGGAATGACAGACACAGGCTCCCGCATCCAGCTTTTATGTGGATTCCATCACAGCCGGGTCCCCATGCTTGCGTGGCAAGCGTTTTACCTACTAGCCCGCCTTGGCCCCACACAAGATGCTGTTGGGGGCCGGAGGGAGGGTTTGCTTCCGAGCATTTATGTCTATAAATTTTGTAAAGAGTCCTGAGGAGAGTGAAGATTGAACGGATATCTTTATTTACAGTAATGAATAGAACAGACCCTCCCTCTACCCCTTTCCAGTCTTTTCCTTATCGCCCCCTCCCACCCACCCTCTCCCTAAACCCCATCGTCTTGGGTCACTATATGGGTTAGGCCCCCACAAGAGCCCAGTAAATGAGCTGGGAAGAGAGCGGGGGTGGGGCTGACAATGGGCGGCAGGACAGGTGCCCTTTCACATTTTCTGTCCTCAAAGCTGGGGTAAGCCGAGGGAGGCAGGCACCTGGAGCAGAGGTAGAGAAGGACACGGGCCTCCCATTCCTGCCCCTCCCCTGCCGTTCACAGTGTTCTGAGTCTGGGCAGCTAACTGGTTCTGTCCTACCAGGCTCTAGATGCTGTGTCCCTGGTCACCAGTCGAGGGGACCAGGCTATGCGTCTGAAAGCAGACCTGTTCCGTGGCTGAGGTGGCCCCTCGCGCGAGCCACCTTCTCACATCTGGGTTAGGATTCTGAGGGGTCCGCGGGGGGTCAGGGGAGGCGTCAAGCTTTGTGCGGCAGCTCTGGGGCCACCCCGCGGCATCAGGAGGAGAAACAGAGTCCACAACACTCCATGCATATCTCCAGGCAGTCTGCCGACTCGCAGCAGGCATCCACGATGCCGCAGTCCAGGTCGCAGGGCAGGTCACAGTCCGCACACTCGCCGGAGCCGCAGCAGCAGCAGCAGAGGCAGGAGTCCTCGGAGCTGCAGGAGCCACAGGTGGCGCAGTCCAGGACGATGTTGCAGAGGGTCAGGAACTCACAGAACAGACAGGACAGGATGCAGTGGACACAGCAATCTGTGGGCGGTGTTCAGGACAGTAAGGGGCTGGAGCAAGGGAGCCCCAGTAACAATAGCCCAACAGAGCTGCTGGGCGCCTGCAGTTTCATTTAGCTCCCTTAGTCCCGGTTACCCCGAGAAGTAGACGAGGCCAGTTCCCACTGGATGCCCTGTTTCTTTAAAGGCACAACAACCAAACAAATCCGAGTGGGGATTGGAGGGAGCCCAGGCAGCCTACGTTGGGAGCCCGTTCTTAGCTGCCCTCTGCTTACATATTTAACAGGCAGCCAGGCAATGGTGGCGCACGCCTTTAAGCCCAGCACTTGGGAGGCAGAGGCAGGCGGATTTCTGAGTTCGAGGCCAGTCTGGTCTACAGAGTGAATTCCAGGACAGCCAGGGCTACATAGAGAAACCCTGTCTCGAAAAAACAAAAAACAAAAACAAACAAAAAGAAAAAGAAAAAAAAAGAAAAAGAAAAGAAAAACCAAAAAAAAAAAAAAACAACAAACGTATTTAACAGGTATGTGGGCAAAGAGGTGGTCCAAACGCGGCTGTAAGTGCTCTGTAGGAAGTAAAGTCATGTAAACCTCTGGTAACAACTCTATGATGTGGGCTGTTCATTAGCCCCATTCTACAGGGGAGGGACAGAGATTAGCCACTTAAAGATATATACAAGGGGCTGGGATGTGGCTCAGTTAATATAGCATTCGAGAAGCCCTAGGTTGGATCTTCAGTGCCGTATAAACTGGGCATGGTGGCACACACCTGTAATTCCAGTGTTTGGGAGGCGGAAGCAGGAGGATCGGCAGTTCAAGGCCAGCCTCAGCCACATAGTGAGTGTGAGCTCAGACTGGGGTACTGTCTCAAAAAACCAAAACAAATAAACAAGAATATATAATCAGGGTCGGGGGGGCCGGTCTGGAGAGATGGCTCAGTGGTTAAGAGCACTGACTGCTCTTCTAGAGGTCCTGAGTTCAATTCCCAGCAACCACGTGGTGGCTCACAACCATCTGTAATGAGATCTGATGTACTCTCCTGGTATGTCTGAAGACAGCAACAGTGTACTCATATACATAAGATAAATATAAATATAAATATAAATATAAATATAAATATAAATATAAATATAAATATATATATTTTCATTCCAGAATTCTGCTCATCTCTGAACTCCCTACGCCCCATCTTTGGCTACACCTCACCAGTGTGTTGTCTATCCCACAGATAGGCAGGAGCCTTTAAAAAAAATGCAAATAAAAAGAGAGGCTACATATCAGATCCTGCTTTGCTCAGAGCTATCACTAACCCAGCCCCCAAGCGGGGGAAGCTTAGGGCCCCGGTGGTCCTCAGGCCCAGACACCTCACCTTTCCTGACTAGTCCTGGGCGCCTTCTACTTTGCCGTGCCCACACTGGCTGAACCTAGGCCGAACAGGTGGCATTCTCTATCTGGAATGTTCTCACTCCCCTTTCTCCTTATCTCTTCAAACATCACATCTCCTGGCTGAGAGCAGGTTCCTCTACTCCTGCCCAGGAGAGAATAGAATCTCTCCTCACCCGGCACACTGCTCTCCTCATGCTTCTGTCTTCCTGGCCCTGTCGCCTCCCACCACACCTCAGGCTGTTAGCTGATGGACATCCCATACTTGCCAGGCCCTTGGTCTGTTATGTTTACAGATGTGTCACAAGTCCCCAGAACAGGATGCGGCTCAGTCAGTGCATGCACAAAGTTCCGAGTTCTACCCCAGCCCTGTATACACGTTGTAGTTCTGCATGTCTGTAACCCCAGCTCACGTCAGGTAGGGGCGTGATGATCAGGAGTTGAAAGTTGAATACGAGGCCAGCTCAGGCTACACAAAATGAGCACAGTAGGTGCTCAGGTGAATTGGTGAGCTGTAGCTCTCACCGCTGAGTCCTGGGCACTAAGCCCTGCTGAGGGCCGGGCCAGGGGACAGAGCACCTATCCCTCCCCAATAGAACTGCCTTTTGCCAATTAATGCTATCCAGCATCCTCTGTGGATGCCTGGTCTTCAATCTACGACCAGCATGGATACAGTAGCTCTCTTCAAATGCAGGTGTGGTAAATCACCGCTGTATTTAAAACCATCAGTCCATCGCAACCATCCATGTGTGCAGGTAGGCTGTCTTTGTACCCCACCACATAGGTGGCCATCGTCAGTTAGGCTTTCCCAGGGTCCCTACGTGCCTGGAGTCTCAGTCTACCTGCCAAATGCCATCACACTCATTCATTACCTGTCACTTCCATGTTCTTGTTCCCGACCTCACCCTCTAGACTCTACACCTCCTCTTCAGCCTTCTGGACTGCTGTGGGTGTTCCCGTGCTAATGCAACCTCTGTGCTTGCCCTTGTCACATGGATAATCATGTGTGCCTTCTTCCTGAGAGCCGGAGGAGGGCAAGGGCGAGGTCCTAGCATATAGCAGAAGCCCAGGATGCACAGGAGTTATTATTTTCTTGCACCACTGGGACTTGAACCCAGGGCCTTGAACATGCTAGACAAACGGTCTACCACTTAACCTAGTCACTTCCCCACCCCTAAGGCAAGTTATGTGAATGACTGCCTGTCATAAAATACTTCTGGCAGAATCTGTCCCCGGGGGTGAGGAGGTTTCAGAATGTCTTAACAAATGCACACCTGCATGTGTGTGTGTGTGTGTGTGTGTGTGTGTGTGTGTAGTGGGGGAGGAGACAGGACAGGGGTGCTATGGAGATGGCTCAGTGGTTAGAAGAATTTCTTTTTCTTGCAGAGAACCTGGGTTTGATTCCATTCAGTTCAATCCCCAGCTCCCACATGGTGGCTCTCAACCATCTGTAACTGCAGTTCCAGGGCATCTGATTCACTCTTCCGGCCTCTGAGGGTACCAGGCACACACCTGGTGCACATACATATGTGCAGGCAAAACTTTCATATACATAAAATAAGTAAATCTTAACAACAACACAAATGCCACACTGAATCCTGCTTTCTGGTCGCTAGACCAGGGTCCCCCCAACATGAACAGGGCTGAGATCTGTTGGTTCTTGGCTGGGCAAAACCAGCTGATTGCTGCTGACCGCAGCAGCCAGAGGAGGCTCTGTGTTGTTGGGACAGCAACTGGGTGTTGGATCTGAGAACTTCTGGCCTCCCTTGCTGTACTTTGTCCCCACCCCCATCACATACACTTGCCACCCCCACTCCCACCCCCATGCACCCATCCACCCCCCGCCATCCACCCCCATGCCCCCACCACCACATACTTCCGCCACCCCCACCCCCCACCCGCCACCACCCCCACACCATTCTCTTCTCTCTTATCACTTTGGCTAAACTTTCGGTTGTCCACTCCGAAAGGATTTTCATTTTTCATTTTCTTTGGTACTGGGGACAGAAAGCCATCACACACTAAGCACGAGTCCCACAACCGCCTTGTGGAAATTTTCTGATTCTGGAAATGAGGCAGCTTACGCTGGATCAGCCCAGACATACGTTGCAAGGTTTACTAAGTTGAACAGGACAGCAAGGTCCCAGGGGTCCATGCGGTCACCTTTCACCTTAGCTTCTCCTTAGCCTCTAGCGGGTTTTCCTGTGGTTGCATGGATGATTCACTGGAGGCTGGAGGCCTACCTTTCTATATACACGTACTGGCTGGTTTTGTGTGTCAATTTGACACAAGCCAGAGTCATCAGAGAGGAAGGGGTCTTAGTTGGGGAAAACTCCATGAGATCCAGCTGTAAGGCATTTTCTTGATTAGTGATGAATGGGGAAGGGTCCCACCCACTGTGGGTGGGGCCATCGCTGGGCTGGTGGTCCTGGGTTCTATAAGAAAGCGGGCTGAGCAAGCCAGGGGAAGGAGGCCGGTAAGCGACATTCCTCCATGGCCTCTGCGTCAGCTCCTGCCTCCAGGAGCCTGCCCTGCTTGGGTTCCTGTCCTGACTTGCTTCGATGATGGATTGTGGAAGTGTAAGCTAAATAAACCCTTTCCTTCCCAGCTTGCTTTTTAGTCATGGTGTTTTTGTTGGAGCAATTGAACCGCTAAGACCCCATCCCACAGAGGACAACTTGGAGTTAGTACTCTTTTCCTACCCGACGGCACCAGGGAGCAAACTCGGGTCATGACAGTCCTGCTGGGGTCTCCCGAGTGCTGGGATTATAGTGGTGTGAGCCACCACACCTGGTTTCTTGTTATTGCTTGAGACAGGGTCTTGTTGTGTAGCTCAAGACGGTCTTGATCCTCCAGCCTCAGGCTCCTTAAGTGCTGTTCGGCTGAGCTGTGCATTTCTTAAGCAGCAAGCTGGTGACGCTGCCTGTCTGTGGATGCGGACAGCAGGGGCCTTACCTTCCTGTGCCTGGAGGGGGACCTGTGAGGCTGACCGGGTGCTGCCTTTGCTCTTCCTTCCAGCTTGGCTGCCCAAAGAGGGATGCGTCTGCAACTTCCGGTGGGCCTTGGGCCCACCCAGAGCACCGTTCCCCGCATGCCCGGCACTGCCCGGTTCTGAGAGGTGGTCGTGGCCAGAGCCATTTGGCAGTAGTGGGGTGCAGCCTTGGGGGTTCCCTTGAGGCTGGCCTGGAGAGATGAAGAGCCGATGAGGAAAGAGGTTCATCCTCTACTTCCTGCCTACTTCATTCCTAGATGCTCCTCAGGGGAGCGAAGGCAGATTTGTCTTCTTTACATGGAGAAACTGAGGCCTAGAAAGTAGAAATGACTAGCCCACGGTGACGCTATGGAACAGTGGCAGACTGGGGCTCATCTCTCAACTCCTATAGCAGTGCTCATTCCACAGAAACCAAACCCCAAACTAGAGGTACAAAGTGGTGGCCGAGGGGTGTGAAAGACCCCCCCCCCCCCACTTTCTTACCCATGTGAAATCTATTCTTTTAGGCTCCGGGATTTGGGCTAGAGTGGAGTAGGGGAGACATGGTTGCCTGGGGTTTTCTTAAGACGGCAGCGAATCGGTTAATCTTCACCTTGGCTTCTGCCAAACCCCCAGCTGTTTTCGCCCTTGGTGCTGTGGGTGACTTATTGGGAACATCTGTTTGGAGATGCATTCTTGGCCCTGGACTCAAGGGCTGCTCACAGCAGCCCCTTTTTTCTGCTTCTTGCCTTCAGCCCTGCAGAATCCCATCCGGTCCTGCTGCTGTGGTGCTGAGAGTGTGGTGCTGAGAGTGCAGAGGGGCTCCTGGTCTAGGTGATGGGGGAGGAGTGGGGGAGGGTAGGTGAGAGACCTCCAGGAAGGCCAGTTACCCTCCCAGCCTAAGCAACCAATTTTAGGAAGTTGAGGCTGCAGGTTCCCCCAAATCCTCTGTTCCTTTGTAGATCTCATTCAGAGGCTGCTCAGTTGAGCGGTTTGGCACTAGTCTCGGGAGGTGAGGGTATATGTGTGTTATGCTGGTATAGGGATAAGAAGGGGTCACAGGAGGTCTGCCCCTCCCCCAGTGCCTCCTGCAAGTATAGGGTACTTCCAACCCTTACCTGAGCCCTAGAGGCCTGACTTCTTTAGGCTACCTTGTGGCTTTAAATTTTACAGGAGGCCTCGGGTGCTTGGGAGAGACAAAGGGCTGGACACTCGCTGTGTGCTGTGTCACTGTCTCCAGCACTTGCTAATTGTCTTCTCACAGAACCCTCTTTATAAAACGTTCTTTTTTTCCCCCCCATTGAATCTTTTGTAGCCAAAGCTAGACTCAAGCAGGCTATGTACCTGACAATGATCCTAGTCAAGTCCCTCATCCTCCTGCCTCCGCTTCCGAGGTGCTGGGATTACTGGTGTGGACCTACATGCTTGGGTCACTATCTTTTTTTTCACTGATAAGGAAACAATGTTCCAGAGAGGGACAGGAAGTTTCCCAAGGCCACACAACTAGCAAATCTCAGTAGTGGAAGCAATTTGAGATTTTAGCTGGGGACCGAGGGACTGGGAAATAATCTTTTACATTCACATAATCACATTAAAATTTATTTATTATTTATTTATTTATTTAATGTACATTGGTGTTTTGTCTGCATATATTACGCCTGTGTGATGGGGTCAGATCTTGGAGTTACAGACAAGTGTGACCTTCGATGTGGTTGCTGGGATTTGAACTCAGGACCCTCTGGAAGAGCAGTCAGTGCTCTTAACCTCTGAGCCATCTCTGCAGCCCCTACATAATTACTTTTTATAAGCAGTAGCTAGTTAACATGTTTTGAGTAGGTATTAGGGGCAAGGTGGTGGACTAAGACACTTACACACAGTCTTGTCTTTAAACATCACAAGCCATCTATTATTGGCCCATTTCTCTGATGGAAAAACCTTGAGGACCAGCTGGTATAATTTGAAAGATTCCACAGCTAGGAAGTAGAAGGAGGAGGCCTGGAGTCTGTTACGGCAACACCAGGCACCAGGAGGGGAGCAGAGGGGACACGCTGGGAGTGTGAGAGGTGACAGAGCATTGGGCAAGCATGGCTGGGGTATCCTGCACCTGGTAAGCAGGAGCACAGCCTTGGGAGTGGCCAGGCCTGAATCATCCTGGCTCCACACAGATGGCTGGCTGAGCCGTTGGCCGGCTTCACTGTCCCTTGCTGTGCTGCCTAAACGTGGGTACAGTGGCCAGAGGGAGGGAATGTGTGGTGAGCCCAGGGCCCTGGGAGGTGCTGCAGACACAAAGGTCGCCTGTGGCCTTGGCTGTGGGGGAGCCAAGGGGTGGGGGTGGTGTTGAGTCACAGAGCAAACACTCAAGGCCATAGACACAGGGGTGTCTGTCCCACTCCCACCTGGGACGCTCTCCCTGTGGCTATGGCTGTGACCTCCTTTTCTCAGTTGTGTGTGTGTGTGTGTGTGTGTGCGCGCGCGTGCGCGTGCAGGAGGCTGAGGACACTGCTCTCCCAGGAGTCAAGAACCCTACTTCCACACTTGGCCCCAGATTCCCAGGCTAGAAGTCTAGGAGGCACATTGTTTATGCCAAAAAGGCAGGTGGGCACAGCGGAGTGGGGCCAGCAGACTTGAGTGCCAGGCTTGAGTCCTGCTCTGTTGTAGGTCTGACCCTCAGTTTCCTCATCTGTAGAATGGGCTTGATAAGAGCTATGGCGATGCCTCTTTAGGAAAGCACTCAGAATTGGTAAAGATGAATTTTGTTCCTTTCTCCTCTGAGCAACTGGGATCTTCCCTCTTTCCTTTGCACCATGGTCCTGCCCTGAAGGGTGCACTGTACTGTGTTCCAGTTTCTGGCCCTGCCTAGCAAACCAATTCTCTCTCTGAGAGGAAAAGATACCTCTTGCTGTACAACCTTAAGTTGTATTGCCTGAGCCTGGCCTCTACAGGGCAGAGAGGTAGGGGGCAGCTGACACAGGACAGTCTCCTTGACATTCCCTGCCTGCATCAGCACCCAGGACAAAGACATCTCATCTGAACTTCTGACAGCATACCTGGGGTGGATTTCCCTGCATGTTGCCACCCCAAACCCCCAGGTCCCTGGGACTCACACGTCACAGCTTCTGTGGGGACATCGAGGTCAGTGCTGTTCAGAGCCTGGTGAGCCCCAAGACTACTGTCTTGGGGCATGGAGGGTGCCGCCTCCTCCGGGGAGCCCTCTTCAGATGATGCCTCTGCAGGGTGAGTGGATCTTGCTACCTCCAGCCCAGGGAGGAGGGACATGGTCTGGGCTAAGGGAAAAGCAAATGATCAAGGGTCGTCTTCCTGGTGTGCTCCTGTGTGCCCAGGCCCAGGTCTGACCTACAGCACAGAGGACCCAATGAGCCCTCAGGACGGTCCCTTCATGATCACCGAGCTACCACCCTATCTGGCTGTGGTATTTGATTTCCAAATTGAAAGTTCCCAAATCATAACTCATACACGCGCAAGGGCATGTTGGCATGCGGGCATGCATTTGTTCATGGGTGAATACGTCCACGTAGCATCAGGAGAAGGGGCCTGTGGTATAAAGAGATGTAGGGAGAGGAGTGGGACACAGTGTAAGAGGAAAACGGACAAACTGCTCAATGCTGCAGCCGGAGAGTTAGCTATGGAGACCGACAGGCGCTGGATGGTAGATGCTGAGAGAAGAGAATTTGGGAGACCGGGTGGGGAAGGCCGAGCCACTGAGATCTTGTGACAGGCAGTCTGGGATGAAGAAGAAAGTCAGCCATGAAGAAGAAAGACAAAGATTAGACAGAGCCTGGGCTGAACCGAGCAGGGAACCGCTATGAGACAGGAAGAAGGCAGATGTGGAGAAACTGGGTCAGAGAGGGGATGCTGGCATGGGAGAGAAGTGAGAGAGCAACCTGGGGGTGAGGAGCAGGGAGGGGCCCCAGGCAGGAAGAGAGGTCCAGAGACAGCCAGGAGCACTGGGAAGAGGTGAACCACAGGCCCATGTAATTAGAGTGGCTCTGGGCAGGGTGGGCGGAATGAGGGAATGAAGCCACCTACAAACCGCAGCTCCCCCGCCAGCAGCAGGATTGGGCCCCTTGGGCTCCCAGGAAAGCACAGGGGATGGGAGGTGTCTGAGAGCCTACAGTCTTGGCGTCTGGGCTTGGTGGGGGGTGGATCTTGGGGTAAAGCCGGTGGTCATAGGGCCCAAGCTATGACAATTTTGGGGTATAGCTGCCTCTTAACAGACACCGGGCTGTGCTGGACAGTGGGATGGCGGTGGTCTCGGGGAATGACTCCTGTACCTGTCTTCCCTCATACGTCCCATGCTGGGAGAAAGAAGAAACAGAAACAAGAAACTCTGAGAGAAGCAGACGCCAGAGGGCAGGGCTGTGTGGGGAGGCAGGTTACATAGATGTGGGTGGCCCCAAAGGTGAGAGGCCCCCCACAACCTGGATTCAGGATGCAAAACTCAGATGTCTCTTGGCAAGTCATGGGGCTGAAATATGGGACAACAGACAAGCAGTGCTGACGGCCAAAGAGGTGTCACGCTGTCTACTAGGTGGAATCCCTGTCATGACTGGAAAACAGACACTGAGTTGGCATGAAAGAACGCAGCTAGGCACTTGCATCCAAGTTATAGGAAGCCTGCTAGTTCCAGACACCAGCCCCTGGGCCCTAGAAACATCTCTCCGTGGTCCCAGGCCTGAGTTGGGGTCCTGACTGTCACATATTGTGTCATGAAAAAAACCCAAGGAAGAGTAAGTTTCATGATCTTAAAAAAGCTTTATCTTGGGCGGTGGTGGTGCACGCCTTTAATCCCAGCACTTGGGAGGCAGAGGCAGGTGGATTTCTGAGTTTGAGGCCAGCCTGGTCTACAGAGTGAGCTCCAGGATAGACAGGGCTACACAGAGAAACCCTGTCTCGAAAAACAAAAAAAAAAACAAAACAAAAAAAGTTTTATCTTGGGGTTAGAGAGATGGCTCAGTGGTTAAGAACACTGGCTGCTCTTCCAGAGGTCCTGAGTTCAATTCCCAACAACTCATGGTGGCTCACAACCGTCTGTAATGGGGTCTGATGCCCTCTTCTGATGTGCATGAAGACAGGGCACTCATAGACATAAAATAAACAAATAAATCTTTTAAAAAAGAGTTTAATCTTATTTTTAATTCTAAATATGTGTGTGTGTGTGTGTGTGTGCGCGTATGTGTGTGTATGCGCGCACACACACAGGCATGCATTCACACACAAGTGGGTTTACCCACATGAACACCAGTACCCACGGAGACCAGAAGAGGGCATCGGCTCCCCTGGAGTTGGAGTACCAGCAGGTTGTAGGCTACCTGATGTGGATGCTGGGAACTGAACTTGGCCCTCTGCAGAAGCATCAAGTGTTCCTAACTGCTGAGCCATCTCTCATCCTTCCCCAACCCGGAATGCCTTTGGTAGATAAGGTCTCACTCTATAGCCCAGACTGGTCTTGAACATACTGAGCAATCCTCTCTTGGCCTCCTGAGTGCTGGGATTACAAGCACAAACCACTATACCTGGTTTGTTACAGAATCTCAGTTGCTCTGTGTGGGAAGGAGGCACGAATATCCAGCTCTCAGAGCAAGATGCACACAGCAGAGGGACTATTTGCCAGCAGCTGCCCATTTACCCATCTAACCTTGCCTTTTCCTTCCTTCCCTTCTCCCGTCCAGCACTTACTAGTGTCTAAAAGATGCCTGATCTAATCAAGCACCCGGTGAACCAGAATGAAGAAACCCAAGCCACTGCCAAAGGAGCCTGCCATGGCGCAAGTGGCCGTCATATACACTGACAGGCAAGAACTGCAGCAAGCTAGCTAGGCATGGGCATGGCGGCTCACATCTGTAATCCCAGCTCTTGAGAGGCTCAGGCAGAAGCTTTGCCCGTGAATTCCAGGTCAGCCTGGGCTATAGAAGGAGACTCTCTCAAAAGCAAAACATACAACAGGAGAGTCTCTATAGGCTGCTGGCTGTGACGGGGCAGATCTGTAGGCCTAGCACCTAGGATGCTATGAGAGTTGGAGGTCTAGACTGAGCTACATAGCAAGATCCATCTCAAAATAATAAAATAAAATAAAACAAAATAAATCCCAGCAGGGATATTTGCAAGGGTTGACAAGGAAGAGGGCTGAGGGTATAATTCAGCAATCAGAGAACTTGTTATAATGTTAGCTTTTAAGGGTCCCGGTGGGATGTGGTATCACTTACCTATAAGCTCAGCATTTGGGAGGCAGAGGCAAGAGGAGTAAGAGTTAAATGCTAGCCTTGGCTACATAGCAAGTTGAAAGCTAGTCTGGGCCTCATAAGACCAAGTCTTTAAAACAAAATTTTTAAAAACGCACCTCCCCCCACGTGTGTAGGTGTATGAACATGTAAGTTTGTGTATATGTAGTTGTGTGTGTATGTAGGTGTGTGTGTGTGCACATATACATGCCAGGAGGTATCCTGGAGAAGGCAAAATCCACTGAGTGTAGTGCCATTCTGAAGAACTCTGGAATCTGGTTTCTTTAAAACAACAACAATGGAGAAATCTTGTAAGGATGTGCTTTCATTTTTAACGCCAGGTGTGGGACGTGGTGCTGCCATGGACTGTCCACAGCAGGACCACCATTTAACTCATGCTTTAGCAGAAGTATTGTGATTGTGTGACATTTGGAATTGTGGGAACTTTTCAGAGGGTACATAAATGCAAGGACCCCAAGGGGCATTCTCAGTGGTTGTTAGTCATTTAGGGAAGTTGGTTGCGGTTTGTTAGTAGGCGTGGTCAAAGAAGAAACAAAAGGACAGAAATTAGATTCCGGAATTTTCCTAATTCCTCTCTCCCCTCTGTCCTTGTTTCTCTCCTGTTTAGTGTCAGAGGGTGAAAGGAGGCAGGGGGAGGGGTGGGAATAAAGGATAGGAAAAAGAAGAACTCACAAGTCGCAAAGACTAGCTACAGCTGAGTCTTAGACAATAACTGGGGTGGGAAGATGGAGAAGAACAAGACCCCAGAGCTGCTAGTCTGATGGGCATGAGGGGGCACATGCCACTCCCTGCTACTGAGGACTGGAGTTTGGGACAGCAGCTAGACATCGAAAGCCCTTGGCTTCCCAGGCTTTTTTCTGAGGTCACCGGAGTGTATAGTCCTGATAAGAGTCAAGATTCCTGCTCTTTTGGTCCCTAGAGCTTCAAGAGGAAGAGGAGGAGGAAGAGGAGCAGGAAGAGGAAGAGGAAGAAGAGGCAGAGGAGGAAGAGGAGGAAGAAGAGGAGGGTTTAAGGAGACGGGAGCCGCCATCTCAGTCCCATTCATTCAAGCGTCTCTCCTAACAATAATCACCTACACGGCTGGTGACCTTCAACCTGGAAGGAACAAAAGATTTCTGGAGAGACCAGACCATGGCCTGAGGAAGCTGACAGTGTAGGAAATTTGATTTCTAGGACTACAAGTCCAGTGTTTCAGCCTGGACACAGAGGAGCAGACCTGAAGTTAGGAAGGTCTCAGTTGCAGGCAGAAGAGGGGAATGAAGCATATTCTTAGAGTCAGGCTCACAGTGCTGGAAGGAAAAGGCAGAGTCAGGAAGACCTGCTCCATAGATGCTACCTCATGAGGTCTGGACCCCAAGACGCGGGCTGGGAATCGCACTTCTGGGATAGATGAGACAGAAGAGCCACAGGTGAGGGGAAGACTTGCAGATCAAGAGGCTAAAGAGCCCAGTTTCCCTTCTGTAACCGAAAGACTCCACTGTCCAGCCATGGAGAAGAGAGTGTCTAAGGGATCTCCTGAATGAGAGTGTAGGAAGCTGTAGTTGGGAAAGGCCACAAGGGAGCATTGTGGGCATGAACAAAGGACCCACTGGATAGAGAAGGACTGATGTCCACAGCTGGAGTCCTAAGGTCACCATGGTCACCTGGTAGTATGTCTACCTCAAACCCGACCAGAACGACATCATTCTTTAATGTACACAGTGCTCTCAAACACACTAGTGTCCTGCACCCCTGGTGAAATCCAGGCAGGATTCACTCTGACGCATGCTCACCCCTACCGTGGGCTAAGGTTCCGGTCTGCATGTCAGAGCTCTAGAAAGGGGCGGAAGTTACATATTCAAATCTACACACTGCAAAGGAATGTCAGGGAGATATCACAGTGGCACCGGGGACCTTGTGGAGTCCCTCAGCCCGTTATCCATCAGGTTGGGGGTAGGGGTGGTCCCTGGCCAGAAAGAAAGTGAAGAACTTCTTCCAAGTGGGATGGGTTCACTTCAAGTCGGGCCAGTTCCTGTTCTGGAGCTCCAGCATTGTCTTTGCAGACAGTGGATCTGAGCACCCTGCCCTTTGGGCTATGACTGTCTCTAGAGAGAGATCAGGACTTCAGGCCAGAGTGATGTCTGGAACCCTATAGTTCGCTCTCTGCCTGACCAGACATTCAAAGCCTCTGGTCACACATCTTCAGTGAATGTACAAAGGTCTTGTGTTCCAGGCAGACTAGCTTATCCACACCCTTGGGCTATCACGGCAGCTTCTGGCCAAACTACCTATGTGTATTCAGTTCCTCATGACCACGCTGCCACCATCTTTCCTGGTCTAGCCACACTAGCATCTCTTTCTCCAGAAAGCCTTCCCTGACCCCCATGACAGCAGTCCTTTCTCCAAAGAGCCATGTTATCCTGACAACTCGGCAATGACACAATGGCTTCTGCAGTCCGGGCCCTTGTCCATCTCTTTCCCCTTTGGTGGTCAGCATTTGCCTCTGCACCTCTGTGGCTGAGTGTTGAAACTCAGAATGCCCCAGGTTAGAGAAAGGAGAAAGAGGGGCCGCATCGAATATTAGGGGTGGTATCTGGCTCTGAACCCTAACAAGACCGGAGAAGGTGGACTCTTCTGATGTCCATTTCACAAGTGTGAATTCACTAGTCACAGACCCAGGCCACTGAGTGGAGGACTGGAGAGGGTCTGAGCTGCTGCTTAGGCTCAAGCCAGTCGTTTCAGGTCCAAAGGCTTCAAGTACCAGGAAATCGAATTTAGACCCATGGACAGAAATGTGACTTGCCGGTGCTGGGCAGACATCTTGTGGGTTAGGGAGCCAGACTCTTAGGGCTCTCAGGAATGGGTGAGGTAGAGGCCAGTGGGGGAGTCAAGAGTCTTAGTGGTTGACCACCTGCCCTAACCAGAGATGCCCTGAGTGTTCCTGTGCCGTCTGTATCTTGGATGCCTGAGAGAGGAGGCCATGTCACTCTCTGGCTATTGGTTTCTACTCTGGGGGACAGTGTAATGGCCTCCCTGTTCTGTGGGCACACAGGGAGCATGGCGGATTTTGGTCTCAAAGTCAGGCGTCTGTGGGGTTTTTGGCCGAGTCTCCTGCGGTTTGGGCTTCCTGGGTAGCAGGCAGAACAGAGCAGGACAAGTGTTATAAAAGCTGCATTGTCTGGCCCAGTTCAGGCTGGGTTGGGGGCTTGCTGGAACACAGGAGCCTCAAATTACAGTCCAGGACTAGGCCTTCCCAGCAGCTCCCCCTGGACTCCGCAGCCTGTCCTGAGCACACTTTGCTCCCCTCCTCTGCCACTGGGTGGAGAGCAGGTCAGACAAGGGAGGGGATCTTGGAAGGAGATATCACAGGAGAGCACAGAGAAAAACCAATAGAGGAAACAAGCAAGCATGGAAACTCGGGTGGGAGAGAGGCCAAGACAGAGAGAGAGAGAGAGAGAAAGAGAAAGAGAAAGAGAGAGAGAGAGAGAGAGAGAGAGAGGTCCCAGACACAAAGGCCTCCCAACCCCCTGATCCCCACTGTCCTTCCAAGCTAAAGGAGCCTGGTCCTTGGAGGAGGGTATCCCTAGAATCAAGGGCTCTACCAGAACAGGGACTTAGGGCAGATGAAGACAAAGCACAGACACATTAGTCTCCACTGGCCAGACATCACTCAGTTTTGGGAGATTCCGCCTCTACAGTTGGGAGAGGCCAGGCCAGGTAGACAAGCAGCTGAGACCATCCCCCACAAACAGACGAACAAGCTTGGGTGGCTCTGAGAGGGGGTAGAGACCCAGGCCAGAGAAGGAGGGAGAACTGGTCTAAGACCTTGATGGGAGTTTGAGGTTCAGGATGGGCTTGGATCTTCATTACTGAGGCAGTGTTGGGGAAAGGAGAGGTTGGTTTGGGTGGGAGGAAGGCAGGGCTTTCAACTGAGCCAAAATAGGGGTTTAAGTCAGGAAATCTGGGCCTGCAGTTCTGCACCCTGCCCACCCTGACGTTGAACGAATCTGGTTGTCCATATGAACCTCAGAGAAAACTCTAGACTCTGAGGGTCAGGGACTGGAAAGCTAAATTGGCAGGTCCCCTCAGGGAGACACAAACCCTTCCTTAGTCCGTAGGCTCCTGGGGCAATCAGAGTAGTTTAGCCTTTGAGGTGGGGGATGGGGCATTTTACTATGTTGTTGATAGTGTGTGTGTGTGTGTGTGTGTGCACGCGCGCCACGCAGGATAGAGACTGCCCGGAGGAATCTTCAACTAACAAGGAGGGAAGGGGCCAGGTTCCTAACCACTAGTTGCTGAGACAAAAGTTCTCAAGGAGCACTGGAGCCTCATTCTGCTTAGTTTGGGGGAAGGGAAGAAGAGAGACACCACCTCCCCCTGCCACACACCCCGCCTAAGGCCCTCATAAATATTTACACACTGGGCAGAAATGGTTCAGCCACAAATCCCAATATTATGGGCAGACATCACGGAGTGTGTGTGTGTGTGTGTGTGTGTGTGTGTGTTGGAGCCAACTTTGCACAGCCATGGCCGCCTGCTCCGGGCCCTGCCTCCTCTAGTCCTCTATTCCTCTCTTCTCCCCCTTGGACCTGGTCCCCTATACTGAGACTTCCCACCCCTACCCCCACCCAAGCTTCTGGGGCCATCCGCCTGTCTGTCTCCAAGAGAACCAACAACCCCACCCCCAAAACTTCTCTCAGCCTTCCACACCACTCTGGTCTACCTTCGATTTCCATTCCTGCTCCTACCTGGGTCCAGGGCAGCGCTGGGGACTCCATGAGGCGCGTCGCAGCGAGAAGGGCACTGACCGCTCACCTGGGACATCGGCCTGGGACCTGGAGAAAATAGCGCTCAGCAAGCGGGGGCAGGCCACCCTCGGGTGTGCGTGGGGAACCGGAGTGGGTGCCCTAACGCATACTCGTGCAAGCTGCGCGCTGCTGGCCCAGGCAGGTCACCTCGTGGACCCCGCCATGCGACACCTGGGTGTCGCCCGCGCCCCCTCCCTGCTCACTCGCTCTTGGCTCCCATTCCAGCGCCAGCTCGCACCCACCGATCGCCCCTTCCTTCTTCCTTCTCTCGCTCCAGCCCCCTCGCTCCTCCCCTCTTCCCCGGCCCACCCCGTCCCCGCCCCCTCCTCGCTGTCTCAGCCCCCCTCAGGCGTCCCCTCCCCCGTGCGGGACTCGCTGCTGCCAGGGCAGGACACGTCTGTCCGCGGGGCGTCCGAGGCCTGAGCCCCCACAGGAAGCCAGCTCGTCTGGTTTCCTCCCCTCGCTCAGAGCCAGGATCTCCAGTCTCCCCAGATCTCCGCCTACCCAGGGCCGGGAGAACCTCGCGGGTTGCACAAGGGGCCGCATGTTTTCCTTTGGTCTTAAACTTTGTAAAAGTTTCCAGAATATCAAAAGGAAGAAGTCACAATCATCCCGGGACAATGATCTGGATAGCAGTCGCCCTCAAATCACGGAGCAATCATGCCCCTTGTTCATGCCTCTACTTCGGAGCTGGGTGCCTGGAGTTTGGGGCTCAGCCCGTCAGAAACTGGCTCTCCGGGAAGCCAGGCTGGTGTGTCTCATTAGCCTCCCCGGTCCCATAGCAGCCAAAAACATACCGAAGGCTTGCCACCCTTGCCAGTGCCAGCTGGACATGGGAATCCGTTTTAGAAGAAGGATTGTCCATCCCCTCTTTGGGCTCCAGGCTGGCACCCCAACTTTCTCACGAGGGTGAGTGTATAGAAAGGATTGAGGAGAGGCCAGTCTGTTGGTCCGGCTGGAATTGTGCGGAGGAACTGTCACCAAGAGGTTCGGGGACCCTCAGAGTGACTCCAGGAACCGATTCAGAGAGCTTGTAGGCAGCCAGGTGGGGCTAGACAGGCTCATGTTGGTGATCCCCTCTGAGACTCACACTGGACCTGAGCTGCCTCCAAGCCCGGCGTCTGGGTCCACACCACCAGGGCTAATTAGGGAGGCGGCGGCGCCAGGCCACCTCCTCTCAGCCCGCGTTACAGCCGAGAGGAAAGCTGGGACGCCAAGGATGGAGTTCCCTCACGGTCGCCTCCCAGTCCTCGAAGTCACTACTTACAGCTCTTGTAGGTCTTCTGGGCGCCGTCGGGGCCAGGACCCGCGTGGCCCCCACGGCGCCCGCAGCGCTGTCACCGCCCTCGGCCACGTCCCGGGGATGGATGGGCAGAGGTGACTGCTCTGGGAGGAAAGCGGGACGGCAGGGGGTCCCGCCCTGGACGTCTTGATGCTCGCTGCGGGGGACTTGGCTCCCCAGAGCCTCGGAGATCAGGCTGCTGTCTGGGGGCGTCGCTGAGTTTGGGAGCACTCCTCCTTCCTGGTAGCGGCTGAGTCACTGCGACGCGCCCGCGGGAGTGTTTGGCTGCTGCTGCATTCTTCCCGGCTTACCTGCAGCGTTAGGCCGGGCCTCACCTGCCTTCAAAAGCAGCTCCTCAGTTTCCCCTTAGCTTCGGCGCTCCATCTTGTACGTTTTTCTGTTTCAGATCAGGGCTCCTGGAACTAATGCAATTCTTGAGCCTCGTTTGACCTTGTTTCAAGGTCTTCCAAGGGATGTCAAAGCGCCCCACCTCCACCCCGTCAGAAGTCTGTGTTTACGTCTGTGTAGATGCAGAAACACCTTCACCTATGCACGCCAGTTACACGGATGTGCCCCCTTTGAAGACTCAGCATTCAGAAGAACTAGATTGCTCTGATCTTTGGGACAACGGGATTTGAGGGCCACGACTAATTAGTATTATGATACTGTACCAAGTATCACACGGGTACTTGTGGTAGAGGAACTTCTGGTGGTTGAGGCAACGTGGTGTCCAGTGTGGCCACACATTCCTGTGTGACGGCCTTCTGCTCCTCCTCCCGGAGCACTCTGATTACTGGGCACCACATCCGGTTTGAAGGGCTCTAGAGATGGGTTTCCTGTATGCTGGGCACTCTTCCAACTGAGCCACATCCCCACCGTGAGCCTTTGGTATGCTACCGTGTTTGAATAAGAAGTATTTTGGTAAGGAGGGATCTGGGTGAGACAGAATTTCATTGTGTCAACAAGCTGGCCTGAAACTCCTGGTCCTTTGGCCCCAGCGTCCTAAATGCTGGGATTACAGGTGAGCACCGTTACGCCTCCCTTCACTGAATTCTTTCTTATCATATTATTTTTGATTTTTTTTTGTTTTTGTTTTTTTTCGAGACAGGGTTTCTCTGTGTAGCCCTGGCTGTCCTGGAACTCACTCTGTAGACAAAGCTGGCCTCTAACTCAGAAATCCGCCTACCTCTGCCTCCCAAGTGCTGGGATTAAAGGCGTGTGCCACCACCCCCAGGGTCTCACTATATTGCCATAGCTAGCCTGGACATGCTATGTAGATCAGGCTACCCTCAAACACTTGCCTTGCCTCCCAAGGGCTGGGATTAAAGGTGTATATCACCAGGCCCCACTATTATAATATTGTTAATTTTTAGATTATCGTATAAAATAATGAGTTTCACCACGTGTCATACTTCTGGCTTGTTCCCCTCCCCCACCGCCATCTCCTTTGTCCCCTCTAGCTGGTTTCCTCTTCACTGCATTTATTCAGTGACTCTCTCTCTTCTCTAGCTCCCTTCACATCTTTCTGTCCTGTCTTGCTTCCCTTTCCTAGAGTTTCATCATATGCACATACACATCTGTAGATACATACACATACACGGTCATTCCCATGTGTATAATCTTAAATCAAGGCTGCACCAATAAGAGAAGATATGCAGTATTTGTCTTTTGGAGCCTGCCTTGTTTTGCTTAACATAGTTTCCAGTCTCAGCCATTTCCCCACACAGGTCACGGTTCCACGTTTCTCCAGGGCTGCATAGAATTTCATCGTATATGTGAACCGAATGTTTGAAATCCATTTATCCAAGCCGGGCGGTGGTGGCGCACGCCTTTAATCCCAGCACTTGGGAGGCAGAGGCAGGCGGATTTCTGAGTTCAAGGCCAGCCTGGTCTACAGAGTGAGTTCCAGGACAGCCAGGGCTATACAGAGAAACCCTGTCTCGAAAAACAAACAAACAAACAAACAAAAAAAAAAGAAATCCATTTATCTGTTGACAAGCATCGAGGCTGGTAGGTTTCCTCTATGAACAGCACAGCAGTAAACACGGGCAGGCAAGTGTCTCTGCGGTAGACTGACTTGGAGTCCTTCAGGTGTATACCAGGAATGGTATGGATGGGTTATATGCTAACAGAAGCTTGTTTTCAGTTTTTTGAGGAACCTCCACGAGGATTTCCATCTGGTGCAAGCATGCATTCCCATCATGAATAAGGACACCTTGCCTGCATTAGTGGCTTCCCCCACCCCCCTTGATGACAGCCATTCTGACTGAAGTGAGATGAACAGGGTTGGATGCTCTTTTTACATCAGCACCTGAGCCAAATGTTCCACCTAGTCTTGCCTCCTCCTGAGGGACATAGCCAGGCTGCCTAAAATGTATCCCATGTGGCTTTGCATCCAAGCACAGCCCTCCATCCCTCCCTTCTTCCCTCCTTCCTTCCTTCCCTCCCTTCCTTCCTTCCTTCTTTACTTTCTTCCTTTAATTTTTTTTTTTTTTTGTCTTTTAACCAGACACTGTAGCTCTGACTGTCCTGGAACTCACTCTGTAGACCAAGATAGCCTAGAACTCACTGATATCCCCCTGCCTCTGCCATTCCAGTGCTGGGATTAAAGGTGTGTGTCACCACCACCCAGCTTTCCTAAAACCAACTGTTAAGTACAGAGGAAAGTTCAGCCCCAGGACCTGGCAACCCCATCTGCCTGTACATATTCCCCGGCTTTCCTATGTAGACCGGGCTGGCCTTCAGCACACAGAAATCCATCTGCCTCTTCCTCCCAAGTGCTGGGGTTAAAGGCTTGTGGCACCCGCCTGGCTTCTCTTTTTATTTTTTCTGTTTTCATGCTTGTGTACAGTATGTATACATGTGTGTGGGTGCACCAACATGTATTGTCCTGCAACCCATGTGTGTGGGGACCCAAGTTTGATGCAGGCTTTCCTCTTTCATCAAACTCAAGGTCTCTTCTCCATCACACCCAGTGCTTGCAGATATGGCTCATCTTGCTAGCCAGCTTGTGCCAGGGATCCCCGGACTCTGCCTTCTGAGGCTGAAGCCCAAGGCAGGCCTCTGTGCCCCAACCAGCATTTACATGGGTTCTGGGGAGCCAAACCCCATTCCTCACATCTGCTGCATCTGCCCAGCCTGTATTTTTTTCTATATTTCCTCTTAAAAATAGATTCCTTTTTGCTATTTTTAATTACATATAGGTGTATTTGTCTACGTACACACATGTGTACACATACACACCACACACAAGTGGATGTTCTTGGGGAGTGTCTTAGGATTTCATTGCTGTGAAGAGACACCATGACCAAGGCAACTCTTATAAAGGACAACGTTTAATTGGGGCCGGCTTACAGGTTCAGAGGTTCAGTCTGTTATCATGGAGGGAAGCATGGCAGCGTGCAGGCAAGCATGGTGCTGGAGAAGGAGCTGAGAGTTTTATATCTTGATCTGAAGGCAGCCAGGAGAGACTCTGTCTTCCACACTGGGTAGAACTTAAGCATAGGACCTGATACTCACGCCCACAGTGATGGACATCCTCTAACTAGGCCACACCTCCTAATAGTAGCCCTTCCCATGGGCCAAGCATATTCAAACCACCACAGGGAGGCTGTAGACTGGCGATCCCCTGGAGCTTGAGTTTCAAGCAGCTGTGATCTGCCTGATGTGGGTACTGGGATCTGAACTCGGGTCCTCTGGAAGAGCCCCCTTTCCACTCTATATTTCCTCTGTTGTGATGTACGAAAGCTTACCAAGAAGGGAGGGACTTCATACAAGTCTCATGGGAAGGGAGCCTCCCAGTCCAGTGGTTCCCTCTCTCCCTCCCGAAGCCTTCTAATAACCAAGATGCACAGGCTCTGTAGCCGCAAGCCTTCCAGAGTAGTGCAAGCCCATCTCAGTCTCCCCTCTAAATCTTTCTCAGTGTATTCACACAGCCAGGCCACTCCAGTGGTGTACACCCTCCCTGTCCAGCAGCATGTGCCAGTCTTTCCCACTTCCTGCCTTGGACAGGGGCCAGTTGGCTGGGCTGTATGCTGCAGCTGGACCACAGCTGTAGTCTCCGTGCCCTAGAAACCAAAGATAGGACACGGCCTTTATGAGGCAAGACTCTCCCAGATGAAGGTCGTGTAAAGGGAAGGGTGCCTTTTGTTTCCTAGACTGACCTCCAGCTTCTTAGTTCAGCTGATCGCTCCTGTCTCGGTCCTCCTTTAGCTGGGACTATGGGCGTGTACCCCAACATCTGGCAGGGAATGGGGAGATTATGTGTAGTAAGGGGCACCTGCTCCATAGGAATTAAGGCTCACTCTCCAGCTCTAACTAGGCACACTACAGGTGTCTGCTTGTAATTCCAGCATTCAGATGCCAAGGCAGGAGGATGGTGAGATCCAGGTTAGCCTGGACTATACTGCAACTTCCGGACCAGCCTGGACTACATAGGGAGACTATATGTCAAAAAAAGCAAAGCAAACTGAGCATGGGTCATGAGTGTCTGTAATCTCTGCACTGGGAGAAAAAAAAATAGAATAGAGGGGTCAGGAGTTCAAGGCTAGCCTAAGCTACATAGCAATTTCCAGACCAGCTTGGGCTACATGAGACCCTGACTCAAAAGAGCAATGAATACAGGGCAGGTGACGCCAGATGAGTAGCTAAAGGGGCCCGCTCTGCCAGCCTGGCAGTCTGAGTTCATCTGTGTCGAAGTGGATGGAGAGAATCGGCTCCACAAAGTGGTCCACTGACCTCCGCGTGTGCACCGGGGTATGTGTACCCTCCCCAATGCGTTCACACTTTTGTACACAGGCACATACACATAATTAATTAATTAATTAATTAATACCACCAAGAGAACAACCCCACCACCACCCAAACCTTCCCAACCCTTCCTTGTTGCCCCCCACATCCAGATGTGGGTATCAGTAAGACCCTGTCTTAAGAGTCAGCACAAGACGTGTGGGCCATTTGATAAAGGGCTTATTGGACACTCACAGAGCCCTGGACTGTGAGTCCCGAGCACACACGTAAGCTGTTTGTGAGGGTGCGCAGCTAAGTTTGTATTTTTCTAACAACACACCGAGGGTGCGCAGCTATCATTCCAGCCCTGGTTTGTATTTTTCTAATAATACATGATGTCAAATCACTTTTTTATAGAGAACCTACATGGGATTGTCCCAGGACCTCTGCACATATGGTACAGTTGAGTAGCTTGGTCTTCTTGTGGGATTCCTAACAGCAAAAGCAGGGGCCGTCTCTGACTCTGTTCCTGCCTTTGGGGCCCTTTCCTCTACTGGCGTTAATGGGAGAGGAGGCACCTAGTCTTACTGCAACTTGATGGGCTATGGCTGGTTAATAGCCATAGAAGGCTTGCCCTTTTCTGCTGAGAAAGAAGGAAGAGTGGGTGTGGGGGCAGAGGGAGGAGGGGGAAAGGACTGGGAGGAGAGGATGGAGGAGGGAGTGAAAATACTGGTTGGCATGTAAGAAATAAACAAAAAATAACTTTTAAACGTTTTTATCGTATATATCTTACTATTTATATATCTTCTTTGGTGAGATGTCTGAGTTTCCTTCCTAGTGGCTCACTATTTTTGTATGAAAATGCAAAAATATAAAATAGATAATAGATAATAATGTAATGTGTTTTTGATAGTTCTTTGTAGGATTAAAAAAATGTGTGTGGGGGTGTGTATGTGTGTGCACCCTCGTGTTTGAGACCGACGGGGGACATCAGTGCTCTGCCCTGTCACTCTCGGTGAACATGTAGCAATAGACTGACAGGTAGCAGACCCCGGTGGTCCTCCTTTCTCTATCCCCACAGCACTGGAGTTCAGGCCTTACAGCTGGGCCCAACTTCTTATGTGGTCGCTGAGGATTTGAACTCAGGCCCTCGGTTTGTAATGCAGGCCCTCTTCATAATTGAGTCAGTCTTGTAACAGCCATGACTTTTGCAAATATTTTCTTTCAGTCTTGTCTTACCTTATTGACAGTTTTTTTCCTATCATTTTAATGAAATAAGATTTATCAATTATTTCTCTCATGGGCCTTACCTTTTGTGATTTGGTACCTAAAGAGTCACTGCCAGGGGTCTTCTGGGACATTTGTTCCTCCACATACAAACTGTTTCAATATTCAACAGTTACCCAGTGAAGTACATAATTCAAGGGGTTTTGTTACATTACATTATTGCTTTAAATTGCAATAAAAGAAATTCTGAAGTGTCCAAACTTGGAGTAATTATAGCCATGACAGTGTGCAATAGCCTGTTGATGAGGTCTTTCGTCATACCACACAGAAATTCTTTAAATGTTAAGCAATATCTCCCTGTATTAGGTAGACAGACAGACAGACAGACAGACAGACAGATCAATCCATCCTAGTCTATCAATCTTAAGTTCCTTGACTGTGGATCCATCCCTCTGACTCATCCTTCAGGTTATTTATCCCTATGGACAAGCTGGAATCCAAGTTTGTCGTCATGGAATAATGTAGCATAAAAATACAAGCAAACTGAGTAGATCTTCGTGAATTCCATGGTGGCAGAAATAATTGTGCATTTCCCTTTCTCCCCTCACCCAGTTCAGGGGAGAGCACAAACACAGTCCCCTACTGCCACAAATTACAAGGTCAAGTTTCCCACATTGAGGAAAACCCACAGAGGTCAACCCATGCGGAGTGCACTGGATGAGCTTCACCCTGTAGAAGCCACTACCTCACCGTCACGAGGTCGCCCCTGCCAGGTAAATGCCGAGACAACCGTGCATTGCTCTGCCCAAAGGAATGAATATTCTACAGTCTCTTGTCTAGCTTATTACTTTTCTGTATTCCTTTGACAATCGGATGATAGCTTTAGGCTCCCTCTCCAAAAACTTACTCCACAAATAAACAGAATTTCCAATACAATCTTAGGAGATTCTTGATCTCCAGAAAGCCCCATGGTAAGATATTAGAGGCTGGGGAGAGAACACAGGGTCACCTCTGTGGTCCTGTCCCTTGTCAGCTGAGTATTTGGTATTAATGATAAAAAGTGACAAAGTACAATATATGGGAAGCATGTTGAGTTTGGCAGTCAGAAGAAAACACCCCTAATAGCAGACAGAATAAGACTTCTGGTGCCGGGGAGGGGGGGTGTAGAACTGGGCAGACACTGGGTGTAGCCCTATGTGTCCCTGGGCTCCTGCTGGAGGTCAGCTGTTGATTTACCTTGAAGCAGTCAGGCTGATGTGTGGAGCCAGCCTTCCACTAATGGGAAGATCACCATGCGTTTGGGGTTCCTCTCTGTTTTGGATCTTACTATAATAAGAAGCAATAGATTTTTCACTTTTATCATGTGCTGTTTTCTGTCTCATTCATCAAGAAAACAGAACGTTCAAGAGGAAAGATGTGTCAAGCAAGAAGGAGCTGGTTTGCAACTGTCCTAGAGGGCAAGTGGATGCCATTTCAGGGGTAGGCAGCTGCTGGTAACCCTAGGCTGGAGCACAGGGACACACTGACTGGGTAGACAATCAAATACAGGAACTAGGTGGCTGTCCCCAAGGATTGCCACACTTGCCCTGCTGCTGCCAACCTCCTCCTTCATGAGACTGCCACTGCCTAGCATAGTCACCTCCCGAAGCAGAGAAGGATGCTCCCCATCCCCCAGCCCCGTCCTCCTTCCTATCCCTCAGTAGCTCCTTCCATGGGGATCAGAGTATTAGGAATGCAGTTTGTTGGCTTTTTAGCTCCACATAAAATTCAGAAGGGGAGAGGTAAAACTGAGTGCTCGCAGGCAAAGCTAAACACCGCTTCCCCAGTCTCTCTCTCTTTCCTTTCAGAAACTGTGTTTGAAAATGAGTGCTTCCCAGCGCCTCACTAGAATAAATTCATGGTTTATAAGTATCAAGTACGGCGGCGGTCCGAGAGACAAGGTGCTGTCTCACCTGGTCTACTTTCTCCCACAGCTACGCCCAGGCCTGAGTCAGTACCCACTAGAGATGCTCTCTGATGACTCCATCCTCTCTCCAACAGAGAGGGCCAGTGTTCGCCGCCTCTTATATCCAGAGATGCCAGAGTCCAGAGAACCTGGACTGATCCCAATCAATACAGCTGCAGCGACTTGCTGGACTGGCCAGTCTAAGGAGAGCTGACTCAGCACTGCCCGCTCCCTGCCACGCCTCCCCAGCTGGTGCCGTGGCGCCCAGCCACGATCTTGTTTCTGTGAGTTTTGGGATCCGAGACCAAGAAAGGCTGACTCAGACATGACCCCTTCAAGGCCTGCGACTTCCTCCTGCGCCAGGAAATAGGGCATCCTGCATCTCTGCCAAGAGGATCACAAGGGAGGTCAAGGAGTTTAGTGACTGAGGTCTGGGCCGGAGAAACCTTATTCCCCAGGGTGACATTCTCAGGCACAGAGTTGCTGCTATACTGTCCTGACCGTATTTCCCCAAGCTCAAAATTCTTACCTGTGGTTAGGGACATACAACTGTCCTTGAGAAGAAAATGGGAGAGAGGATTAGAAACAGGGTCTGACTTGGGGTTTATCAAAGTAGGACCTGGTCCCATCCTCTCTTAGTCACTGGACTTGACTTCTGTTGAGTGGTCTTTCAGCAGACCTGCGGGATGTCCTCTTTCTTAGGACAACAGGAAATTGCCAATCCCTAGGGAAGTCACCAGACATGTTTCTCAGTCTTAGCAACATTATTGACTTTCGAGAGAAGGATAATTTTTTTTTTTGCTTTAAAGAAAGCTTTATTTACCACACACATCTTAAGAGTGTACTGTGTGTAAATGCAGCAAGATCTAGAGAAGAGTAATTCTTTGTTGGGGAAGATATACAGTGAACTGGAGAGTGCCCAGCAACGTGCAGGACCTCTGCTCAGCAATGCCAGTAGCATTTACCCAGAAACCCTCTACTCATGGAAATAAAAAATGCCTCCAGTCTGGCGAGATGACCGTCGGGTAAAGGCACAAGCTGCCAAGACAGACAAGCTGGGTTCTGTCCCTGAGAAGAAGGACAGAGCTGACTGACTCCTTGATGTCCCCAGACATGGCCAAATGTCTCAGAAGAGTGGTGACTAAAGCTCTCTTGGTTGGGGAGTTCTGATCCCAGAACACACAGGATATGACTATATTGAAGATGTTTGGTGTCCAGGAAAGAGTGGCAGAAAAATTCAAACCTCATAGTGTAAGATCCTGCCACTGGGCTGGGGAAAAGGGACAGCCTCACTCCAGAGAACTTCTGGGCTAAGGGAAGGAGCGTGAACAGAATAACAGCCCCTAGGGAGTGAAAAACCAGACTTTGAATCTAGAATGTCCTGGTCCTACTCAAGGTCTTCATGGGAGACGCCATCTCTTCATGGTTTCATTTCCTTACCTACAAAATGAGGTTCTAATCATACCTGTTGCAGGATGTAATTAAACTTTTAATGATTTCTCTTTATAAAATATTTTGTTTTTAGATCACACTATTTTTTTTAAAGATTTGTTTCATTTTAAATGATGTGTTTTATGTGTGTCTGGGTGTGGGTATGTACGTGAGACGCTAGACTCCCTGGAGCTGGAGTTACAGGCGGTTGTGAGCTGCCTAAGGTGGGTGCTAGGAACCAAACTCTGCAAGAGCAGTATGTGTTCTTAATTGCAGAACCATCTCTCCAGCCCCAAGGCCATTTTCATGTAGACTTACAGAAAAATTAAGGTTACACTTGGCGGTCCATGCATGTGATGCTAGCACTAAGGAGGCAGAGCTGGGCAAATCACAAGATCGAGGCCAACTTGGTCTCCATAGCGAGTACCAGGTCAGCTTGAATTACAGAGGGACATACAGAGTCTTAGAAAGGCAGACCTTCTAACTGGGGCATGGTGGTGCACGCCTTTAATCCCAGCACTTGGGAGGCAGAGGCAGGTGGATCTCCGAGTTTGAGGCCAGCCTGGTCTACAGAGTGAGTCCAGGACAGCCAGGACTACACAAAAACCAGGATGCTGTAGTGCATGCAGTCCTAGTTCTGGGGAGGTAAAGGCAGAAGGATCAGGAGTTCAGAGTCATCCTTAGCTACATAGGGAGTTTGCAATGAGGCTTGGGCCATCCTTGGCTACACAGGCTTGGTTTTATGAAGCTGGTGGGATGGTTCAGTGGGTGGTGAACACTGAACCTGATGTCTTGGATTTAATCCTCAGGACGCCTTCGGCCATGGCCATGGTCCTCTGACTTCTACACGTGTGTGCTAACGTGTGTGCATGCTCTCCGGCAGTAAGTAAGTTAATAAGGGATTTAATTTGAAAAATAGTAGAAAAAAGAACAAGGCATTAGGAGACTTAGCTCAGTGGTAGAATGCTTGCTTACCAAGTGCCAAGGTCCTGGGTTATGTCCCCAACAATGGGAGAAAAAAAAGGAAAAAAGAAAAAAAGGGGGGAGGGCGGCACAGAGAGATCCTATGCACACGTCCCGGCCGACTCTCCCACTGACATTCGTTATAAAGGACAAACCAACGCTGACACATCATTAGTAACTGGAACCCCCAGTTAATTCAGGTTTCCTCAGCTTTGACCTAGTATCTTTTCCAAGAGCCAGGATCCTGGCCAAGATATCTTATATTTAACTGTCAAAGTGCTCTCTCTCCCTCTCTCTCTCTCTCTCTCTCTCTCTCTCTCTCTCTCTCTCTCTCTC